CGACATCGTCGTTATCCGCCTCAAAGAATATTGTTTTTCTCCGGATTTTATGTAAAATTTTATGCGCGTCGTCATTATTGCTATTACAATGAGAAATAGAAGATGATATCAGTCACGCTAAAGGAGATTCCTAAGCACTTACAAAGGCAGTGCTGTATCGATTTCCGGCGTACCAAAGGCTATTCGTTTAATTGTTCGATTCAGCGGATCCGGAAGTATATCAAAACCAATTATTAAATCCATTCCCAAATATTTCTTAATCAACACCAGCGATTTTAACCAATCGAACTTTGGACTTTGGTCGCTATCCTCCGTTCCCAAAGTTAAATTAAATCCCCTAGGTATCAAAGGTAATTGAAATTGCTTAAGGAAATACACTAAAGGTTCCATGTCACGTTCATCTAATAGCTTAGTATCCATGCAACCTTTAAACATTAGCTTCGCTTTGCTAACAGTCGCCGGTTCATTGTCGGTTGCATTTTGCTGCAAAAATCTTCTTAATTGACGCATTATTTTCGCCTGAGCCTCTCGAAACCAATCGTTCGATGTCACTGAATCGGGTCGTGGATGTTCGTCGGCCCATCGTCCGCATGTAAATTGATAAAAGTCTTCACAAGGGTCAGTCTTTTCGTCCATTGAGTAAATAAGGCTTGCCGCTGCACGAAGGCATTCTTTCGAACGACATAAGCTATTAATCGATTGTTTGTCTAGAAGTGCAGAAAGAGCTTAACGAAGCATCAACACATTCTCGAGCCTCAATTCAAGCAAACTTACTCAAAAAAACACTTAATATTATTATTATTATTAATAAAAGTATTAGCAATAGAATGAGTAAAACCAACAGCACCTTATGATAATATTTTCGTCGAAATCTGAAATTAAGCAAGCAAACCCACTTTAATTAAAGGAAAAAGAAAGCAAGAAAGTTCTTCCTCACTTTGATTGCACGCCTATTAGGTTATTAGTTTGATGACTGATGATTGATGGCAAAGCTTTGGAACTGCCATTGGCGCCTCCCTGGTCATTGCCGTCAATTCCGGTAAATCCACGCGCAGGATTGTGGCCAGAATTGACAGAACAAACGCTAAGATTATCTGAAAATAATTAAAGCGCAGGCGTTGTAGTCGATAAGCAGTACTTATCCTCAGAAGTTCTCTACAATCGACAAAATACGCGAAAGATATTTGCTTACAGCTGCTTACAGGGAAATTAAAGCATCATCCACCAAAGCTTATAGGGAATTGAAAATTCTTATCAAAATCGGAAGAAGCGTAAGATTGAAAACATTTTGAAGTGACCCAATGTTTTACATCCAGTGAGTAAAAGTCCGTTAGATATTAGACGGGGAAGAACTCATATTGAAAATGTAGCTATGGACTTGCATTGATATTTGGAGTGTCCTAGTCTACTGCTCTCCCCTATCTACTCCCGAATGCTGCTTCTTTTACTATGAATCTTTATAATTTAATTTACCAATGTATGTCTCAATCTAAGTCATCTTAGCAAAATATGCAGACAAGCGTGTTTTTCGGGAAGGTGTGAAGCAATAGCCTTTGCCGCTGTGCAATCGGCAACAATGCTAAATGGAGGAAAGGCGACTACATGAACCTTACATGCTGTACAGAGACCACATTCATGCGAATTCTATACCATTACGATCATTGCTTCTTAAGCTGTTACCCTAATGCATTCTCTTCACATCAATTAATTGGATTAAGGATTAACTCGTAGGGTTACTTGCGTTTTTATGTAAAGAATGCATTAAGCCTTTCAGAAAAAATTTATGATAATAATTGTTCATCCCTTTAATGCTCAGCTTGGAGCGATGAATATTTAATCGCACACATGCCCATAACGTGGTTATGCTTTTCATTTATTTTCATACTCATACTCTTCGCACAGGCTAGACGGTAGGTAACCTAAAGCTATGCCATTGTAATTTGTTTTCCTTGAACGTTTGGCTTGACCGGCAAAGCCGTACACGCATTAGATTGTGATCACAACATGTGTCATTTGTTTGTTGTATCTTATCACTGACATAATGCTCACATGTTCTAGAACATTATTTCATACATTTTCTTTTTATATCAATTAAGTTCATTGAACTCGTTGTCACCGTTATATGTCAATAACATATACACATGTGTTTGCATTGCGTGCTTTAAATAATTTTGAAATGACAGAATAAACTGAACTTTGATAAAAAAAAAATATATATAAACTGTTTAAATATCTTTAATACTTAATTAAATGCGGTTTTATGTAATTAAACGCAGACTCTCGTTTATGCTACAAATCAGTTGAATTATAGCAACATCGGCATTGCTAAGCAGCGAAGTTCCTAAAGATTAAGATAGTTTCGATTATGTCCTTGAATAGATGGTAAGCCTAACGTGAAAGGAGATTCTGTACAACAGATCATAAAAGATAAAACCGATTTCGTCGACAACATTTTCACTACAATGTGTTTGCAAGTCGCCCTAAAATGAACTATGAAAATTTAATAGATTTCATATCCTAAAGTCAGCGCTATTGACATCCAGTATCATTGTCCTTAACAAGATTACAATTCAAGTCACAGTACAGTTATTTTACTGAGAAGTGAGATCGGAATATATGCCCTATCACTAATGGACTCCTCTACTTAGTGATATTTTCTAGTAATCGTGTGAAAAGGTTTGCTCAAATTCGCCAAAAGGATTCGCTAAGTAAGTATTAATCTTATTATTGCTGGTTATGCCAAAGAAATACATTCTTGAACTGAAGCAACCTATCGCCCTTTGTAAGAAATATCAATTTACATGACATCGTTCGCGTTAATTGAAAAACTAAAGAGTCACTCTTTCTGCGATACCTTCTAAATTGGCGAAAGTTAACACTGGCTTGATAGGTGTAGCATTATGGGCTCATTGAAAAACCCATGACTAACACACACCGGCCGATACATTTATTTTTTGTCTGATTCCCTTTCTCCTCAGCCGTGGTGGCTACGATGGACTAAGTATTCAATGTTCAAGGACTCTGGAACCTTTCAATGCAAGTAAAAGAAGCCTGGCTGGTTAAACTCTAAACGTTTCTCTAACGCAAACGCTTCTCAAGGCCGCTTCAACATGAAAGTAGGAAAATTTGCCCTATGTCCTTATCCGAATGTTTGGCTTATCTCACTAAATTATATACCAACCTGCAGACATTGTTGTTTTTCTTCGTTGATTTTCTTACCATCTATACTTGAGCGACGGCTGCGGTTAATTATAAATCCATTTGTTGTCCAAATGCGAATTGAACGGTTTGTTGAATCCATGGCCTACAAATTTAAATATGTTGTTCTACATACTCCTTCTCACGGCACGGATTCTCAAAGACATGCATAACAATAGTTAGTTCTTTTTGGCTTTATTTGCACAAGCACTCCCTCATCGCCAGTAAAGTTTTGCATTCAGGAAAATTACTTTTCTACTTTTACGTTTACGAAAACAAATACTTTTTCAATAAAAGTTCAAATCTTTTTTTTTAATTTTTTTTTTTATTTATTTATAACATATTACTCAGCTCTCGCATAATGAACAGTTTTACGATATATTTCTTGCAAAACTATACGCTTAGCACTTAATTTCAACTAAAATTCTTGACGATAAAAAACAAAAAATGAAGGAAAATGAGACATGAGTATCCTTACGAAAGCGTTTGCTCACTATTACCATATGCCGGTGAATTAAATCAGTTCGCTTAACTGCACGAACTTTTTATAAAATTTTTTGCCACATTAAGTCTAACGATTGTGTGGCCTTCACACTGTGACGACAACAACACAAGCTATTCATTCTATAGCAATATTAGTAAAATTCTAGTATAATTTTATTTTAGCAGACACCAGCCACCAGCCGCAACACGCAAAACCATTTCATTATCTATTTCAAAGGTAGCCCCGCTACTATTTAGTTATTTCGTGAATGCCCGCAGGAAGAATATTTACAAAGCAACCGACCGCTAATAAATACTTTTTGTGACACATTAAAATTTATATTCAAGTTTGGAATGAAAAAAATATACATCTCAAAACCACCTGTTTAAGTTCCATATTCCATAATAAGTAAGTAGTAAACTCGTGTTCATTCCTTTTCAACTTAACGCGAGTGCGAGTAAACAACAACAACAACGTAACCGTGCTACGAGTTAAAGTCGACAATAAACATTTTTGTAGAGTTAATTTTATTGATTTTATTGTGGCAGGAATGATAGAAAACTGAGTCAACAAAAGTCAAACAGATAATGACCTAAAAGCATACCATGCAAACTAAAGTAAAAAATTTCATTTCATTTTTCTCTTCTCCTTTAAAGCATGCTCGATTTAACGCGTTACATGTAACTAGTGCGATTGTAAATATATTGAAATACTTATGAATATTTAAAAAATTTTCTATTCACTTAATGAAATGCTAATCTAGTCAAGTGTTCGTATCAACAAGAACTTCGTTTTCAATATTATTCCGAATACACGATCGATCTGTGCAAATGAATATTTTGACTTGATATTCGTAATAAATGAATGATTGCTAACAGATGACTCTTATCGCCGAAGTTTGACACTTTCGCAGGCGATAACTGCCTTTAGTGGTTCCGCCAGACATCTCTCTGCTTTATAGTTTACTACTTTACAACTGGCGACTGAGTCATGTAGTCAACCTCAAGGCGTCGAGACTACCGCTATTACATCCATTATATAACATATCTCAATTTTAAAATGAATGACCATAGAAGTCCTTGAAATGAACCTTGGAAATACCTTTCACACCCACATAGAGTCCATATACACAGTTAGTTTCTTAGAGAAATCGAACGAATCATATAATGGCGCAAGTAAAGGAGAGCACGAATCATTAATGTTTAAATTGATTTTTAATGACGAAGCAATATTGTCATTTTTTATGGACAGTTTTCGGTCCGACGTGATTGATGGTTGGGTTAAAAAATAAAATTTACAGATAAATGTTTTTCTATGTTACCAAGTTTTTATAAAGCAGTGGTAGGGATGAATTTTTCATGCGAGTGTTTCTTCAATTTTCGCTACGACTTCTCTCAATCGGTAATAGAATTAAAAAAAAAAAGCCGCAATTGCTCTTAAGAACCTTTACGCAAATTGTCGCCATTTCCTTGTCATTTCATAAGTGCGGGTACGAGTACAGGTAGCGATTCGAATGCTTGGGCATGATTGTAAGCGCACTAATACAGGTGAAATCCTATTCTAGTTGATATTTACTTATACTTACACGCATTGCTGCATTTAATCCGTACAATTACAAAAATCAATAATGGACTTTGGCAAGTTGGAGTCTCAGCAAACGATATGTGACCCTTCTAAGAACAGATTTGTTATAATCCGGCCAAAGTGAGTCAGTCTCGCGCGTTCATATAGAAATCAGAAATACGATATCTTTTCTTGGATGAATTGCAGAATTCGCTTAGCGAAGAGACCGAAAGTCATGCCGAACTGTCTTTTCAAAAACTTCCCGTTAGTCTAACTGTACGCAAGTCAGCATAATACAAATGTGTTATCGGAAAGATTGAGTTCTGATTGTTCCGTCACCTAACACAATCAAAACAAAATAAACCAAAAACTATTCACAAAAATTTTGCACTCAAAAAAAGTGTAGGGATTATGGGTGGAAAATCGCTATCGATAGCAAAATAGTAAATAGGCCAAATGGAAACCGCAGGGTATACATGCGTTCTATTTTTATATTTTTAAATTTTAGCTTCTAATAATACAAATTCTCTATAAAGCACTTATATATAATCACAATGAAGGTAGTTAGTTGTTGAGTTCTTATTGGGATTATTCGGTCCCGTAATAATTTCGTTTATCTATTTTAACTATTTAGAACAAAGGGATTATCCATACACGGTTCCATCAGGTATTTGTCAATTTTTTGTTTGGGTTATGACGCACTTACAACAGGAGGGCATTTTGAAATGATCGGTGATCACTTTTCCCTCAGGCGTTAACGCCACCAGAGACCGAAAAATGAAGTTTTGCTTACAAGTGGCGTAATAGCCTTTGGGTAGGCTTAACATTGAGTTGCATTGGGAGCCTTCGTTTCTGCAAATAATATAAAATGTGAGAAAGCAGGCATTTTTTTTACTTTGGATACCTACTCGCACTCTTCTATGCGTATTCCTTGCTTAAAATTCGAATCATTCACTATGTAACTCCAATTTGAATTTTTGCTTTCGGCTGCCTCCGGATAAATGACCTTCTCGCGACTCCTGCATAAGAATTCCTCAAATGGCTCAATATCTATGTGTGGCATAATCCTTTGCGGCACTTCTATGTCTTCCCCAAAGAACAGTTCGACATTGGGAAACTCACGTTTCAATATATCCTCTAGATGTCCCAATTTCGGGTAATTGCGTACTTTAGTGCAAAATGTTTTGCCTTGTTCCAAGCACTCGTTAACATCAACTGAAAACGGGCTTTCTTTGTTCGGCCCATTCGCAGGAAATAAAACCGCTAAAACATTTAAAATTACTATAAGACCCAGTGTTGCAAAGATACATTAGAATGGAAAAGCTTACGGCTGTCACGGTTTCTGGTATAAGCAGGAATTAAATCCGTATTTGCGGTAGGCTGTAATGGTAGAAATGTGTCATAGGCAAAACTTAATTTTCCATCGGGATTTCTTTGCACTTTGAATATATTCATTAAATTGGATGTAAATGGATCTGTCGTCGGTCGTGCTAATGGCTTTGGCTGATCCCCATGCATTATTTCGCGATATGAATTGAAACGTGCTTCAGAGTTACTAACAATTATCGAAGATCCCTAAACAAGACAACAAAATATTTGAGATAAGAAGCGCACATAAAGTACGAAGAAAAAGAACGCAGGTGCAACGTAACCATGCAATCCGCAAACATACGCAAGCACATGCAAGTAACCACTCATCCAATCAGTCGTTATTCATTCAAAGAGAGATTTTCCCAAGACTTACACTGAATGAACTTGAATGCGGTTCGGAGGATAAATTAAATACTTTTCTAATCGCCGCATCGATTTCATCGGGCGATATATGTCGTCGATGGCGCTCGTGAGGATATGTGCGCGACAATTGTGGATTTCTTGTTCGCAATTCTTCTTCGCCATTGTCTTTGGTGGATGTTTCGTCCGTATCACAATTTATCTGAATATGAAATACACACAAGCAGGACAAAAATGAATGAGTACAACATACAATGACATAATTACAGCAGAATGTTGGATGATTGATTTCATGAGAACGTATGAACGAATTACAAGAATAGGTAAACAATGCAACATGAATAAATTGAATTGCGATGAGCAAAGCAAACTCCTCGTCTACCACAAAGCTAATCGCAAGAAATTAATTTGATAAACTCATTTATTTTCTGGAAAAAGAAAATTGGCTTTAACGGAAACTTTTAACATCCACCATAGATTAGTTCATATATAAATATATAAATAACCATGGATGGTACACTGGTAACCAACATCAAGCTATCTATTGCTTAACCTGTCCGTGATCCCTTCAATATAGCACAAGGAAAGGCAGGTCTAGTTCTAATGTGCATTTATTCATTTGATTATGGGGTCGGATGAATTGTGGCCCAAACATTGAGCATAATGCTCTGAAAAGTTATCATTTGCTTATATTATGCATGGAAATATTCTGGGTTGCTTGTGTCCGTTGGGAATTTATGCGACGAATAGAAAATCCAGTCAGAAAATTGATTCATTGGAATTTTGAGTGACAAAAAAAAGTGCATATAAAAAAGTCCTGAAGTGTCTGAAGCTGCGGCAAAGGCTATTCCACGTGCACTCATTCTTCTGGGCGTTGATCAGAAAACTAATCTACAAAAGTGCTGCTAACATGTGAGAGGTCTAGTGAAAGCAAAAGAAGTTCTAAAAAGTGCAATTTGTAGCCAAAGACAAGTGGACATAGAGATGTGGTGGACAGATGTGGTATTGCAGCCATAGAATAACAGACCAAAAGGACAAGAGTCAAGGCTAGTACAAGAGTTACATGTTCGCTCCATGCATATATCCAAAGCAAATCAATTTGCATTGATGTACGCAAGGAGCAATCGAGATTAGGAGGAATACTGCGTAGATACGTGAGGATTGGTTAAGGTCTTGGCTAAGGATTGGAAGCAAATGTTAGGTAATTAACATTTCGTCCTTGACCTATTTAATATTATGCAAACCGCAGAAGCATGCATGCGTTTTGCTTTTACATATCTTATCTGTCTTTAAGATTAATTTACGAACAATCAATAGATTACACATACTATTATACAAAGCTATAAACACAAAATTGGGAAGATATAGTAAGAAAGCAAGCGCACTACGGCACTTGTAGTTTTTAATCGTATCCCATATTCACAAGAGATATTAGAAATTTTTTAAAAAGTGCTACAAAATGTATTTATTTTTACTTTTCCATTACTTGTGTAAATCACACTAATCACGTCGCGACATATTGATCGAATATTTCATTCAGTGTCAATTCAGTGATGTTTCTCATCGAAAGGCAAAACTGTTTTCACAATATAATGCAACCCTAGTGCCTACAATTGATAGGAGACAACATTTTGAGATAACTAATTAATAAGTTTTGATTGGAACCGGATCATTCAACAAAAAATGTTGAAAGCTACTAATAGCTAAGCATCGTTCTTAAGATGCTTTACTTAGTTTCGATTGCTGTTTATGAAAAAAAAAGAAGAAGAAATAAATGAATAGAAGTACTTTTACCACAAATTAATTCAAGTACTACATGCATTTGTTATTTCAAATAAAATGAAGATTTTATGGAAATAAAATCACAAAATTTGAAATTAATTGTAAAATGTAAAGGCGTAGTGCCGGTATATCTTTAAATTTGTAGAGAAAACCATTTATTTTCGTTGCTTTAATGAAAAAGTCGCGTGAAGAGTCGCTTAGTGCGTTTTATTTACCAGCGCCATTATACGCCAGTGTACCCTGGCTTTCCTTCAAGTAGGTGGAAATGAGTAAGCAAAGTTGGAAACTTGCACAGCTACGAGAAAGTTCCGCGTATCGATTCTAGTTTATGTTAGTGAAAATGTTGGAATTTTCCAACTGTAACCGTTTTTTTAAGTGGGAATAAACCCAAGTTATTTGTATTCATAAGTAGTAAGTCGTCACCTGTAAACATGTGAAGGTTCCCTCTTCGCCACTTAAACGGTGCTATTTAATACCCACGATGAACGAAAGTTAATTTACATGTGAAATGAGGTTAAGGAAAAAAAAAAATGCATACTACACGAGAGAATTCTATCAAAGAATTTAAACCTAAAAAGTCTAATTAAGATAAATCTCTCATCGAATTTTCTGAAAACTATGCACTGACTAACTAACTAACGTCTGTGAATGAAAACACGAAACGAAATTTAGTTTTTTTCTTTTTTATACAGATATCATATAATAATACAAAAGCAAAAGCTCTATAAAGCATTTATTTATAATCACAATGAAGGTAGTTAGTTGTTGGGTTCTTATTGGACATATTCAATCCCGTAATAATTTCGTTTATCTATTTTAACTGCATATGAGACAACGGGGTTATCCGTGCACGATTCCATTTACGATTGGTCAATTTTTGATTGATTTTACGACGCATTTACAACAGGAGGGCATTTTGAAATGATCGCTGATCAGCTTCCCGTCAGGTGTTAATGCGACCAGAGAACGGAAAATGAAGTTTTGCTTGCAAGTGGCATAATAGTCTTTGGGTAAACTTAACATTGAATTACACTGAGAGCCCTCGTTTCTACAATAATAGAATAATAGAATAGAAAATGTAGAAAAGCAAGCACCTTTTTTTACTTTGGATACCTACTCGCATTCTTCTATGCGTATTCCTTGCTTAAAGTTCGGATTGTTTACTATGTAACTCCAATTTGAACTTTCGCTTTCGGCCGCCTCCGGATAGATAATCTTTTCGTGACTTTTACATAAGGAATCCTCAAAAGGAACATTCATGCGTTGAGTAATATTGTCGGGCACATCTTTATCCACGCCAAAGAACAACTCGACATTGGGGAATTCACGTTTCAATATATTCTCCAAATGTCCCAATTTCGGGTAATTGCGTATTTTAGTGCAAAATGTTTTACCCTGTTCCAAGCATTCGGTAACATCGACCGAAAAGCGACTTTTCTTGTTCGGCTCGTCGGTAGGAAAGGAAATCGCTAAAACGTTTAAAGATACCATGAAATCCAAAATGGGCAAAGATACAATGAAATGGCAAAGCTTACGGGTGTCACGATTTCTGGTGTAAGCAGCGTTTAAATCCGTACTTGCGGTAGGCTGTAATGGTAGAAATTTGTCATAGGCAAAACTTAATTTTCCATCGGGATTTCTTTGCACTTTGAATATATTCATTAAATTGGAAGTAAATGGATCTGTCGTCGATCGTGCTAATGGTTTCGATTGATCCTCATGCATTATTTCGCGATATGAATTGAAACGTGCTTCAGATTTACTAACAATTACCGAGGAGCCCTAAACAAGAAACCAATGCAATACAACAAAACATTGAATATACAAATCACAAACACATAAAGTGCAAAAAAGAAAAACGCAAGCACAACACACATTCATGCAATTCGCAAACATAATAAGCAAGCACATCATGCAAGTAATCACTCATTCACTCAATCAGTCATTCATGCAAAGGGAGGCGTTACGAAAAACTTACGCTGAATGAGCTTAAGTGCGGTTCAGATGTCAATATAAATACATTCTTAATTCTTGCATCGACCTCGGCGGGAGACAATTGCAGATCTTTTGTTTTGAATTCTTCTTTGTCATCGTATTTGGCTTCGGGTAGTCTATATAAATTGTCCGGTCTATAATGATTTGAGTCTATATAAGATGAGCGTCCATTTCTAGCCAATGCTTCCTCATTATCACAATTTATCTGAAGATGAGAAATACACACGATCAGGTCGAATACCAAAAAGTGTAAAACATATAATCACACAATGTTTGTTAGATGTAATGAATGAATGATTTTACGAGATCGCACTACGTCGATAAACTATATTCGGATTGATGAACGCAGCAGAAGGGGAGAAGAATTTCTTTTAAGAATGGTTGTGGGCTCGGAAATCCCTTTGAGTAATATATCCAAAGGAGTTCAAGCAAAAAATTGAATTCGAACTCGATCGATGGAAAACAAAAATTGTTCATTTGTATATGCAAGAGAAAAAAAATCGCTTTAAGGCATACGATGTATAAAACGATGAACGTCGGAAAGACTGAGGGAAGAAAAGGACATAGGGAGATGGTCGCAGCCTGGTAAGTGTCATGCTTTTACAGACTAAGCAACGCTCTATCGCATTGCTATTCGAATATGCGAACCTCGAAGCGGATAAGGGCGGTCCAACGATCGTCACACTAAACGTTGTTTAGTATGGTAAGCGACATTGGGTTTTAGCTAATCCAAGTCTCGCCTTGTAGTGCTCTGCTTACTAAACTAAATGAATCAACAACTAAGTGATTTCTAAATGTGTCGTAAATTCGCGCTACACTGACCATATATTTAATCTAAGATGACGAATACTTACTTAATTCTTCGCGTTTGGCGACACCTTTTAGGAATTTTAGCCAAATTTCACACTAATTAAGACAACAAATATGAGTAGCTTTTGATACCTGGCCACAAATAAAATAAATAATTTATTTTATCTCAATTGACTTGCGGTGGGTATAAAAACTATAAATACATACAACGATGACTGACGCATCTTTTTCATGTTTTGAAAATAACAACAGCGTTTTGCACCTTATAGACGATGATTGTTTTCTTATGAATTTCGGCAAATTATTGATTTTACTTAACATATGTGAATAAAGGAAACTGACCCTACTTAACAAAACAAGGCTAATAGTAACGAATTCATATCAAATACGAAATGCTGAAATACTTAAGAAAGACTGACTAATCAACATTTGCAGAAGTAATAAAACAAGTTTTAAAATTTGAAATATTTTCTTAAATTAATTTTTGGAAAAAAATATGAAACAGTCATTTCTCCAAATGTATCATTTAGCATTTCCAGATTCGAGATGACTTGTTTTGTATTTTACGAGAGCTGAAATGTTTAAATACTTTTGAAAAAATATGCGTTGACATGATGAGAAAAGCCGAGGGATTTATAAGGCAAGCAAATCCAACAGGCAGGCAGATGAACAAAAGGACGACTCGATGGACGAACAAGCGAATGAAAAGACAGATGGAAAGAAAGGCGAATCGAATGCACATGTCACGGAGACTTAAGTAGATAGCTAGTAGCTAACTTGGATTAATCTTATACTAGTCAACGATAGCTTATTAAAATTCTTGAGCTCTACTTCCTGTTGTTTCAAGCTAATCACCAAAATATTTTCGTCTCTGACTTTTCGTTAATTTCTTTAAAGGCATATCCGTAATTATGATATAAGAAGAAAAGGAAAAAGTTCGAGCGAAAGAGGGGCCTACAGATTAGTAGCATGCGAGTCGAAGCAAATCATTATTTATTTCATTTTCCTTTCATATTATTTGACTGCCTCGTCTGATATTTAAACATGTGTTTTAAAACATAATCAAAGCTAAACGAATGTATATGTAAATATTTGTTCAATTAATTGCTTTCATTCAACAATTTGTTTGATTACGTTGAGATTAAAAAGGCCCGCCAACAGAGCGGTGCTGATATCAATGTCTAGGCTAAACTTTAAAACTAAGAGTGTTTACATAATAGCAAACTCTCTGTGTGTATGTGTTTTGCTCTTAAAAGTTATGAAAAGTTCTCTTTCCATACATATAGATAACGGTTTATTTAGTAAATTCATGTTTACACTCTTACCCAGGAAAGCTACGCTAATGCATTTATCTTCGAGGAATACTAGTAATAGACGCATTAATGTAATGATGATTGTCGCATGTATAAATAATCTTAATAACATCATACACTGGCAAAGAAAGATGTTATTTTATTAATTGTGTATTCAAATGCCGTTCATGTATTTCACCCTAAATGATCGAAGACGCGGGAATTGTACTGAAAAAAGAACCGTAACAACGAAACAATATGAATGAAGAACTTTACGCAAATATCAATTTTAGGGGGGAATCACAAGTCGGGTAACTTTTAAAAAGATATATTTACTTCGCACGAACACCAACAAATCCCAAGTCATTAACTTTGAAGGTGTAACTTGTAAAGTACCAAACATGTGTACATAAGACGACAAGTATCGCAAGCATTTGCTTGCTGTGGAAAGGGGTGCAAAAGTGAATGTTTTAGCGAAATTGATAAAATTAAGAAATTCGCTGCTTGCTTGCTCTAACGTTGTTTTTTTTCAGCAATAATCGCAAATCTTGTGATGAAAATTTCTTATTTACACCAATTGTCGAAAATCTATTATTCTCTGTTCATCTCTACGATTTAATGAAAACATTTCATCATTTATCTTTGTTTCGTTGAACTGAAAAGTTCTTATCATCAGCGCGCAACAAGCTCTCCATAAAGAAAGGCTGAAGTAAAAAATATAATAACGAGGCCTTGGCTTCTTGAACATTGTCCAAAATTCTTGTGGTGAAGTTTATGCGTTCCCATTTCCTAACTTGACGACTATTTAAAAGCAGTTGACATTAGTTAGTTACACGTAATGGTCCGTGTTTCCCAAAGGCT